TGTATCAGAAGAATTCAAAGTTTGATTTTAAAAAGCAGTCATTTGTGTTGCTAATACGAAAGCATTTCTACAGCTTTATTCTAACTCTAGAATATGCATTGTCTTTTGTGTCACCTGATATAAGAAATTCAGTAAAGCTATTCTAGAGCTCATTTATTTTTCATACCCTGCAAGTTCATAAAATAATCATAGCTTATTTCCACATCTAATTTTGCAGTGCCTTCCACAGTATTGTGACAGATCTTGTGAGGAAGCCCTTATTAAAGCCAGAGCAAACGTCTGTCCCAAAGGGGTTAGGTAAATGATAAAACAATTCATAAAAATAATCCGAACCCCTTTCCTTCAGAGTAAACCCCATTATGTCCCTCTGGCTTTCAAAATTATTTTTAGATGTGCATGTCAAACGTGTAGGATTAAGCTTCATAGGATTTAAGACTATTTCAATGATTCAAAATACTTGGCATCGGCCAGCAAACATAAGTCAGGTTTTTAGTTAACCAATATGCAGTAACATTACTTTATCTCTGTATTATGCTAGGATTAGGACCTTGTGATAAGCAAGCCCCCAGACTCACAGTTAGGATCAGGGAACCTGCAGAAAGCAGGTTGTACAAATCTTCATGCTGCTTAGCAACGAGTTAGAGGTAGTAATCCACTGTGAAATTCGTTTCAGGTTCTAATGCTGTTGTGTAAATGGCCATGAAGATTTCTGAGCAAGTGTTTGAGCGCCCTCTGGAGGCGTTCTGCACGGTTAAAACAACTCCTACAAAAGGTTCTCTTTAACAGCCCGAGTTGAGAACGCATGGACTGGATGGCTGGCCTGGTGGGGGTGTAAGTGGGGAGCAGCGAGGGCTGAGGTGGAGCCCACGGGAGCACCGGTGCTTAGGGGGAGCAGGAGTCTCCAGCAGGAGTCTCCAGCAGGCTGAGCATAAGACTGTGGTGGTGAGAGCGGAGTCACAGAGGGAGAGTCCTGCGAGATGAAGGCTGCGCCCGGAGGCTCTTCAGTGGCGTAGTGATGGGTGGAGGAGTAAGTGGGAAGTGGAGCGATAGAAGTCGGGAAGATAAGCCTTGAAGAAGCCTGGGTGGGGAAATGGAGAGAGAGCATGGCAGCTAGAGAAGGCATAGGATTGAATACGGGTTTTCCTTAAGATGGAAGAGGCTTAGCGTTGGTTTAAACGCTGAGAGGAGAAAATAAGCAGAGATCAGATGAAATGGAAAGATGTGTAGGGTGGGGAGGGGGAGAGAGTTGGATTTAAAGCTCCCAGCCTGGGAGACTTGTTGGGGGAAGATGTTGCCTTTTATAGGGACTTCATATGGCGAATTAGTGATTTTCAGTTCATTGTGGGATGATAAGTAAATATTCCTGTTATGAGAGAATGTGGAATTGTCATCATGGAAATGGTTCTCATTCAAGCCAGGCAGGTGGTTGAGCTAAAAAAAAATGGAGTCAGGATGTACCTTTAGCGGACACTGGTGTTTAGAAAGAAGGAATAAAAGAAATGGTCAATGCCTTCAGCAAGGCCTGAGGAGAGGTGAGAAAGTGCAGGGAACTGGGGACAGAGGAGACGTGTGTAACCTAGGGTCAAAGAGTGAAACAGGAGCAAGGGTCTGGCCTTGCGCTCTGACGAGGGGGGCAATGGTTTTGTTTGTTTGGTTGGTTTTTCTGTTTTGTTTGGCTGCACCACACAGCTTGCAGGGTCTTCGCTCCTTCACAAAGGACTGGACCCCGGGCCCTCGGCAGTGAAAGCCCGGAGTGTCCTAACCACTGGACGGCCAGGGAACTCCCAGGGAACAGTTTTGCAGAAGAGGCGTCGTGGGGGTGGGGTATAGAAGGGGGAGTGGGTGTGGGGGGGCAGGACTGGGAAGTGTAGAGGTCTGCAGGGAAGGCCAGCAGAGAAGGTGGGGAGAGGGCAGTGGTCGTAGCTGGAACAGACGGTGAGCTTCTCTGTGCTCACCCAGCGAGAGCCCTAATCAGCAGTGACTGTGGAAGGAGAATTATATTTGCCTTTCTGCTTTTACAGGTATAAGATTTAAATCTCGTATAACTTCTGAACTACCTCCTGTTTTTCTCAGATTAAGAATCTGGCCAAATGGGAGAGAATGTTTGGATCTGTTCCTGACATTCATGGTGACTCTTGCACAAGGAGAGAGTAAATGTGACCAATTTTTGATTTATTATGCTGACAGATGTCCTTCAAACATACAGGACCATTTGTAGCCTGAATAACATGTTTTCCCTTCTTTTTGGTAAAACTAATAGGATGGCTAGTAGAAGTTGTTTGGCTTCATTTTTGTCAAATATTACATTAAGAAAAAATAATAGACCCCTAATTCAGGAGTGCCAAAGTTACAGTGTGTTTAAATTTGGGAGGTGAGGCTTGAGTTCTAACTTCAGACTGCTCAGTTTTGAGTAGTAAGGCATAATATTTAAGTGTAAACTTCTGCGGAGGGCAGGGTGGGCGGGTTGCAGCTTACACCCAAGCATGTCTCCTTCCGCGGGACTGGTTTGCAGTCCTTAGAAGGCCTCAGCACTCTTATCTTCGGTGGCCTTTACCATGTCACGTATCAAACGTATTAAAAAAACGTACCCACATCCCACATGAAATTAGCTTATACAAAACTGTGAGTTAAGCTTCATTAGACTAGTTGTAGGCATTAAACATTTATTAACTTTGATTTTATGATTTTATTTTCATATTTTACATCCAGTAAATATTTTTTTCAGGTCTCAAACATTTTCATAGGCCATTGAGATGCTCATAAGCCCTAGGGCCTGTGCCGAAGGAGCCTAGGGAATGAGACCCCCCCCACCCCGCCCCGTTCTGTTGCGACATCTAGGCACGTCTGGCTGGGGTGGACTTGCCAGGAGTCTGTTGGTTGGAGGCACCGAGCTGCCTCCTGGGAAAACTCCATCCTCAGGGGAGCTGAGGTAACTGTTCTAGTTAGCGATTTTCTGTTGCAAGGAGCAGAGATCCATTCCATTTTAGGAAACGGGATATGGCGTAAGGATGCACCTGGGCCAGAAAACTGTCGTTAACTAAGTCAGCTCGGAGACAAGCAGTCTCTCCAATCGACAGTGGGGTCTCAAGGCAGCTGTCTTTCCTTTGTGTCTTTTTCCTCTTGCTGCCATCTGGTTTTTTCTTTTTTCCTATCCCATCTATCTTTTCTCTACCTTACTTAGAGATTCTACTTCCTCATGACTCTGGTTTGCTGTGATTGCTCGTGACCGCTCCAGTTCCTTTGTACGTAGTAACCTTTCAGCTTCATGTCTCCTGGCTAATCACCTCATTTTCAATATTGTTTAGATTCCTGAGAGAGAGAGATTGGGAATACAACTTTGTTGCAGCTTTTACTGTTATTCCAGGCCACAGCAGAGGTCACTGTTAAGCTCATGGGTCAGGTGTCTGCACGTAGTCTAAGACCCTGTGGTGAGGTGAGATGGAGCGGTTATATGGTCTGCAGCAGCTGGGCCTATCCTTAAAGCTGAGGCCGTTCCCATCTGTAGGATTTGCAGGCACCATGATTGGCATGTGTAATTCAGCAAGGAAGAAGAAACCTGGCCCCCTCTCAACCATTTGAAATTCCTGCCCTTTAAAGTATATCCTATTAACAACCTTCATTCTGAGTCAACCCTTTGTTCCCATTTTAGAAACTAAAATCCCTAAATATATTGAAAGCATTTTTGGTTTTCCTTTTTCTCCCCATTTGATTTAGTTTCAGATGTTGCAGGGTCACTCAGGGCAGTCTGTAGGACTCCATTTCTCATGTTAGTGGTTTCTGCTGAAGTGATAGAGCTGCTTCAGATAGATGTTAGCAGAGTTGGCTTAACTCCAACCTCGTATCATTTGCATGTTTCCTTCCCCCCAGATTTCTGGGGAGCTATATAGACATATAGTAACTTAGCACCGTCCCTAGATTCCCCAAATTTAGGAGAATGTTGCATCCGAATGTTAACATGGCGGCAGTTTGATCCCTAACTCCCTTAATGTGTCATCACTTCCCAAGGAAAAGAGATGTTCCCCGAACTTTAAAATACATCTTGGAATCTATACCCAAACTACTCTTAGCAGTTTTAGAATATAGCAGAGAGGGGAGGAAGTAGATGGAATAAATAAAATAATGATAATGATAGCTAAACTTCGTTGAGCCCTTAACAGTTTCTAGACACTGTTTTTTGTTCTTTTGTTTTTTCTCGCGGTACGCGGGCCTCTCACTGTTGTGGCCTCTCCCGTTGCGGAGCACAGGCTCCGGACGCGCAGGCTCAGCGGCCATGGCTCACGGGCCCATCCGCTCCGCGGCATGTGGGATCTTCCCGGACCGGGGCACGAACCCGTGTCCCCTGCATCGGCAGGCGGACTCTCAACCACTGTGCCACCAGGGAAGACCATAGGCACTGTTTTAAATACTTGTCATGCGTTAATTTATTTAACCCTTAAACTACCTTATAATGTTACCTTTCAAGGTCAGTTGCCTTTTATTATCTCCATTAACCCCACTCTTAATCTCTTAGGTGAAGGTTGCACAGCTAGCGTGTGGTAAAACCAGGGTATGAACTCGTTCACGCCGCCTGTAGTCTCTGCTCCTTCAGCAGCCTCTCACCTGGAAAATAAGTGAGAAAAACAGTATTGATTTTAGACTCTCTAGGATTCCAGCCAATCCGAGTCAGTTACTCAGTATCCAGTGTGAACCTAAAACTCAATTTGGATAAAGTTCCTATCAAGAGGCTACTTATGATACTAGAATTCCTATATCTTGAAGGGAAGTTGTGCAGGCTTGCCTGGAATTTCCTTTCTAGAGTTTCTCAGGCTTTCTCATCCTCTGCTCGGCCCTATAGGCCTTGAATTCCATATTTTTATATAAATCCTAAATATAAGTGGGTCTACCTATCTTCTGAGCTGGAACCCCACATGTATAATAGTCAGCTCTTCAAAAAGCTTTGTGATCCTAAATTCTCCATAATACAAACCTTCTACTTTTCTCTCTGCATGTTTCTAACCCAGCAGGATCCCGAGGCTTTTGTTGCCCTTCAGCCACTGTGGGCCCTGCCTCTGCCTCTTCTTCTGGAATGTCTTGGGGGTTTTGACTTCTGTCACTGTGGTAAGTTTTCCCCTTGTTTGACCGTTTTCCTCGATGGAGAATCGCCCTCAACTATTTCTAAACCGAAACTGTCTCTGGAGTTTTTTCTAAGCATGTTCCCTTTCGGACTCAGTGAGGCAGAAAGTCTCCCTGTCTCATGATTTTTCTAAGAAAGCTCTTGCCTCTCTCTGGCTTTGAGGTCTCTAGGCCTTAGACAACTTTCCTTAACTCTGAAGACAGCAGAAGCACCTTTGTCCCATCTGGAGTTCCTCTTTGTACCTCTGGAGTCTGATTTTCTTGATTTCATGTAAGCCATTGGCTACTAAAGCTTCGCTCTCTCTGTTCCATTTTCCTTTGCTGTCCTGAAGGCCTTCGGGACCAGAAACCTGCTTTTTAGACTGATGCCCTCCTGGTTTTCTTTCCCATTGGTCCTGTCTTCACTGAGATATCACAGCTTGTTTTTAAGCTGAGTTTGTTACTCCGTAAGTTTCTGGTGTTTTCTTCCAAAGTCTGAACAGCAGCTTTCTCCTTAAATTTGAGTTCCTGAAAGTCTTCTTACTGGGGACTCTGTTACATCAGTCTCTGTGCAGACATGATTCTGAGAGCAGCGTGTTTCCAGCACAAGCATTTTTTTCCTTCATTTTCTTTTGAGCCTTTGGATTTGTGATCATTTTTTAATAATTTTTTTTCCTTCAGCTTGACTCAAGAAGACAACATATATTTTACGTAGGACAGGTATTTGTTCCTCTTTATTTGGTCATTGCTGAAATCCAAAATACTCCAGTTGAACACGCAGTCTGGATCGCTGTGGTTTACGTTCATGATGAAACTTTACATTCTTGCTATGCATGGCTGGTCAGCAAGAGGAAGGAGAACCCTGTCTCAGTGGTTGTTGGCCTGGGGCATGTGGCTTCTCATCTTTTTCCCTCACTGCCAGAGGTTGAGTTCTCAGCTCTGGGCCTCTCCCTGCCCTGACTTCACGTCCCTCCTGCACGAGGAGAACTGACTCAGTGAGATAAAGGACGTTTCAGTGGCCTTTGCCGTAGTGGGTGTAGTTACCGTGCACAGTGAGAAGGTTAAGCCTGTGGGGAGGTGTGATGTCTTTCTCTTTCCTGACTCTACTTGGCAGGGTGGGAAGGCTGGGGCTGCTCCTGACCAGCCCAGGGGAAGAGAGGCTGCTCTCCTCTCTTCCTCCGGGTGCTGGGTTGACTTCCAGGCCACGGCCCTGTCTGGAAGCCTGGGCGAGTCTACCTGGGCATGGTGGCAAATGATCTTTCTCTCTTCTCTGTCCCTTTGTGGCTCCATTCTCTCTGGTGTTGACTTGGATCCCCTCAGTCAGCCTCCTTTTTTATGAGTAGTAAGACTTGAGATACAGGCCTAGTAGTTTATGAATTCCTGTTCTGCCCATAATTACTTTGGTCTCAAGCTCAAGGTTACCACTAACAGAGGGAAAAGGAGTTCTCCATGTGATCTAGCCCCACTGTGGAATGCTGCATCAGGAATGGGATTCACAGGCCTAGCTAATGATGAAGTATTCATGTGTTTTGTATTTCTGGTTCAGTCCTATGCACATTTCTGCCTAGAGTTCCTGGAGGTGAGGAGTGTTCGCTGGGACCACTGGCCAAATTTGTTAGTAGTCTTTAATAGCGTATGTTTCCAAAATGGCACTGATCACCCTCAGGTGCTAGTCCTACCAGGTCAAAAGCCTGAATGCTGACGTTCTGCACTGGGTTTTGTAACCATTCCCTGGCTCATTTTGAGAGTGGGGTGGTGATGCGTTTCTCTCCATGCTAATCCTGAATTCTGATGGCCATGGCCTGTGCGGTCGTAGGATTATGCTTGTCTCTGTGTGGCTGTAGGAAGTTAGCTGCTCTTGCAGTTCGTGCTTCCTGAGTGAGCCTGCTGCACAGCTCTGTCACGCCCATACATACTTACCTGGTTTGCCAAACAGAACAAGTTACAGGTTGTGACCCAGGTATAAAAATAGCCAGAATCTGAGATATTTAAAGTAGATTCATAGAAACAAAGCAGAATGGAAGGGGGAGTTGTTCAGTGGGTACAGAGTTTCAGTTTTGCAAGATGAAAAAGTTCTGGAGAGCTTTCACAATAATGTGCACATCACATACTTAACACTACTGAACTCTACACTGAAAAATGGCTAAGATGGTACATTATATTATGTAGTTTTAACCACAATTTTTAAAATGCATAAAAAAAACAGAATCCCAAATCTCTAATTTTCTGACCTGCCAACTACCGTTATACTCCCAATCCCAGCATCACTGGGGACAGTCCTGTTAAAAATCCACTTTTCATTTCTGGCGCGGTCTCCTGGGCCCAGTCTGTGTGTATCCTTCCTTTAGCTGGCCAGGCCCTGTGTGACCTTCAGGTATTTCCTTTGCTTCTCCCTGAGGGTGGCTTGAGCTTTCTAGTCTCTGGTCCTTTTTCTTCTAGGCCCGAACATGGATTTTGTCCCTGTAGGTCTTACTCCTCCAGCAGTACGAGGAGGAATCAAGTCTGATAAACGAGAGTCATTCTCACTGCGCATTAGAGCTCTGACCTGAGCCTGCTGTGCTTGCTGTCGCGGCCCTGCCCCGGCCCCACTCCTGCAGGCCTTGGAGCAGGGGAATCCCCTGGCCCAGTTGTGAAAGGCTGGTCCCCTGAGGAAGACAAAGCCAATGGAATCAGCCAAAGGGAAGGGACAGGAAAAGGCAGGTTATGCAGGCGAGGGCACAGTCTTACAGGCTGTAGTGCTTAGGTGCATTGACTCTCTAAGCATCCTTGTTGTGTCCCGAAAAGCTTTTGTTCTCAGTCCCCCTCCCATACCCCCCACTGCTTCCCGGTATTTGCTGCTCCTTCCTGGGGACAGAATGAGGCAGAGGCCCTTAAGCCCTGTGATGAGAGCGAGGGTGAGCATCTGTATGAATAACAGTGGGTCTGACCATCCATTTCCTGGATGAGTGAGTTGAGGCTGAGAATGAGTGATCTGTGGCCACACAGCTGTTCAGTGTCAGATCAAGAATTTGAACTTAGAACTTCTTACTGCAAGCCCAGTGTTCCACCCACCAAATTATTATGATTCCTAATGTATATAGATGTTACACATTTACTAGATAAGGTAAACTTGGGCCTTATATGTGGTACTCACATAGGGGCCATCAGTGAAGCAAATCACATCGTGTCCCATTCCTTGGGCGTTCCTGTGTACAGTGTCGAAGAGCAGGAAACAGGTGGTGTGGTGGTGGAGTCCAGAGTGTGAGGAAATGTCACTGCAGTCAAGGATTTTAAGACAATCCTATGAATAGAGAGTCAAGAAGGAAAAACTGCTGGGTAGAAGCGGGAGGTGCAGGAGACAGACACGAAGGTGTGAAAGCAGCGCTTGACTTGGAGCAGAGGAGGAACCGTAATTACTGGGAGGCACACTGGGGGGTCTTGGGAGGCCTCTGCCTGTGAGATGAGGCAAATGAAGGAGTGTGTCATGCACTAGTCAAAATAAGGGAAATAAGGAAACTCGCATTTATTTGGCTTCAGCCAAGCTGTGGGCACTCTGATAAGTACTTTCCCACTTACTATCTTCTTTAATTATCACAGCAAAGGGTTGTAGACACGACTATCCATATTTTTACAGATCAGTCTTAGGTCAACCGGGGTCACACAGCAAGCGGCAGAGCCAGGCCCACGCCCCGCTGTGTCATTCCAGAGGTCATTTTTGTGGGAGGACTGGGCTGGAGGGAAGCTGAGGAGTATATACCTATGTCATCCTTTATCACTGTAATCACACAGGCAGTTGTCCTTCTCAGACTTCCTTCTCAGACTCAGAAGAAAACTTGGCCTCACTCCCTCTATACTTTTTGTTGCCCTTCTCCAGACCTAATTTCATAGCCTCTGAGATAATTTCTAGTTAAAGAAAAATCAGGCGTGGTTCCTTTTGTCTTTTTTCCATTAGGAGTCATTAAACCAAGTCACACGAAGAGCAGTTGTCCCAAGGACAGGAGCAAAGCAGCTCTCTTCCCTACGGATCATTAAAACCCAGAGCCCAGATCCTTAGCCACTGAGAACTTTATTAGGCGCGAGGTCAGGGAACCTAGGACTTTCAGGACGTGTGGGCAGGAATAGGGGGCGGGGAGAGAGGAGCCCACACACGTGGGGCCCCAAGTAGGAAACGTGGTCGGGGTAGGGATAAGGTGGCCCCCTGGGAGATCCCGGGCGAGCGGCTGAGGAAGCCAGTGGCAGGGGCTCTCTTTTAGTGCTCAGGGGTCACACTAGATTGGAGTCTTTTCTCACCCACTGGTGGCGGGGAAGCAGAGAGGAAGGCATCAGAAGTGATGTAAAACCCACTGTTGTCATTAAAGGTGAGTTGGAGACTCCTGCTCAGACTCAGAAACTCCTTTGACCTAAAAAGTTGGCCTCAGTGCCCTCAGGGAAACTGTCCCTATAAATTACCAAGGCAGCTGATAATCAGTGGTGGATTCAGGAAGTGCTGCTTGAGCGCCAGGTCGGGGAGTGTTGGAACAGGGGTCAGGGCAGGTTACTGAGTAGACGCCGCGTGAATGGCAGCCAGTGGCCGGTGACTGACGGACTGTTTCAGGAGCCTGCTTTGAGGCCACTGTGGTTTTCCGAAGCGTGTGGTACGCCAGTGAGTAGGTGCAGCGCGTGAGCACCTGAACTGGCCCTTAGGTGGATAGAAGCCTGGACCGTGTTGTGAGGCTGGGCGTTTGGCCCCGGGAGATTTAGGCCCCGGAGAGAGCTGCGTGCTTGAGCCACTGTAAGCGAGGCTCCCCTCAGCTTGGACTGCCTCCAGCTTCCCGTTCCTGAGGTCAGCCTGGAGGATGAGGAAGCCTGCGTTCTCACCTCTGTGAGTGAGAAGCACACGTCAGGAACGCGGCCCGCAGTTGGGCCTTGCAGGGGGTTGTCATTGAGGGCAGATGAGGTGTGGGAGCGGACTAGCTGGAGGCCTTTGGGGCTGCCGTAGAGTGTTGGGGGAAGCCAGCCACCAAGGTGCGAGGGCTAGGACCTTACAA